CCCCCGAATAGAGTATCTACATCTCCTTCCCCCGAATAGAGTATCTACATCTCCTTCCCCCGAATAGATTATTTATATCTAGACATTTCAGATCACGTACGTTATAAACTGATATATTTTCCACTATGTCCTGATCATTATAAACATCAATGAATTATCAAACTACAAACTACTTGAAGACGCTCTACCATACTTAATTTCAGAAATTCAGGCCACGAGACGGGCGCAAAGAAAACTAAGCGACAAGAAGCGAAGACACGGCTTCTTTCCAACGCACAAGACGACTCGTCTCCCTACTCTTACGCGCCAATCGCGTAGAAACCGGGGACAATTGCATTAAAACATATTCTGACAATAAAGACAGAAACTACATCTGGACCACAAGAACCGGTGACAGCACTAGGCGACGCAGAAAACTACGCGACATCTTATGACCCGGCTACAAAAGGTGAAATCTTCGCAAAAGTAATCCCAAAACCCACGAACGCATCCTCCACCTAATAGAAGCTATGGCCAGAAAACCGAATTTATATACTAACTGACGAAATTAGTCTAGCAGATGAATCGGTAGCCTCAGCGAACACCTAATTACAGAAAACATAATCATGACATTCAAATACGTACCCGAAAGCTAGCGGTCCAGACACGTGTTGCCAATGTTTTTGTTACGTGTGTTCAACATGACCAGTTAATTATGACATTAATTATCTGAAGTTCTATTATGAACACAAAAATAATCCGAAGTGATGTAATTTATTTTTATTTCTTGAAAATACGCTGAGGTCTAGCGCGCAATACGGGCGCGTTACTGTGGGGGGGGATTCAAAATACCTCAAAGTTGCCTTGTTTTTTTAGTGGTTGAACCCGCTCGTAAACAGACTGAACCAGAATTTAGAAGTGATGGTTTCTCTCTTATTGTTGGGCAAACTTGAGACATAAGGGCTCTCTCAAGTATAAAGCAACGAGTGTTACATTTTGTATGAAACAATTCAACGGTGAAACAAAGACAAACTATAGCAAACATTCTCTAGTAACATGTATTAACAGGTAACAATGTTCAAAGTGTACATTGAATGTTTTTGTTTAAAATAAAAACACATAGGAACGTTTGTCGTGACATTTTCGTAATTGTACACGTAAAGTAATCTCACAAGAAAACATTGTGATAAAAGTAAACTCATTAAAAAGCCAAAACCTCTGAAAATTGAATTTGAGCGTTGTGGTGAAGGTAATCAATTTATTCAATCTCTTTGGAACTAATTCAAGAAGCAGTCAGGCCAAACAAAAGATCTTTTTGTATCAAGGACAGGACATGTACACAGGTATCACAGATGTGACCCTGAAGAAATGGATTATGGAAATGTTCACAACCGAAGAATTCCTACGGACAATAAAATATGTGTGACACATTCTGAACATGGTCAAGAAGAGTCAGGTTTCAGGGATGTAAATTTTGACACTTGTAACTATCTGTAATGTTACTATCAAAATATGAGAAGTCTAGTTAATAAACTATCTGTTTATTAAATGATCTTAGTACTATTAAGGTAATTTGTTCACAAATGTGGCTCAAAGCAGAGATTCTCTCATCCAAGTTCAATGATATTAATTTTTTTAAATTATAGCACTCACCATATAGATGGAGTTCTGATGCAGAAAGGACTGATTTTGTTAGGTCTTTTTAAATTTTGCTCCAACACTGATGTGCTAAAATTAGGTTTTTTAATTTTTGAATGACAATTATTATTCTTTATATACCATCTCATAATGCCATTAATGAGCTAGAAAATTTGGTTGATAAAATTATTTATTTAGTGACTAGTCTGATGAAATTGTGATCCACTGGATTTCGTTTTTTGAAATTTATTGATTCAGGTATACCTACTGATATGTATAGTCGCGTCCAATCAAACTGAAATGTCCGATTAATTTTTACAACTTGTCCAATTGAATAGGATTAAAAATTGTTATGATACACTTCTTGACCCGATCTTTGGTAGTATTAAAAGGGCAGCTTTTAAAGAAATAATGCCGATTTTCAATGATCCATATCGCCCACCACTTAATGTTGAAGGTGCAGCTTCCTCAATGTACAATGACATTTTCAGTCCCTGTTGACTGTGAGAAAAAGTTATAAGTTAGAAACCTATGATGAAATCATCAAGCAACAAGATCAGGTTGACTGGCAAGTTGTACTGTTTTGGCTCAACAGTCAGAGAATTTGATGTGTGATTTCTTTTACACCAAATTAAATGCAATTATTGATGCTGATGTGCCAAATTCCACGCAAGGTCTCAAAAATACCCATCTTTGATTACCAATGATATTATCAATCAAGTGAAAAGAAAAAAGATAAAATGAGGGAGAAATACAAAATCAATAATGAAAGTATATTAGGTATTGCAATAATATCACTGTTCAAAACAATTAATAAAAATATATACATAAAAACTCAATATGAGCAATTCATCTTCAAGATCAAAAATGATTTGAAATGATGAATCCAACACGATTTTGGTCAGTTATTTAAAAAATTAATTGATCAAATAACCATTTCATGAAATGAATATTGCTACCTTTTACTTTAACCATAAAATGAAAACAATTGTGAAAAACAAAATTATACCCAAATGACTAGCTACAGTTTCAGCATAAACCCAGACCACAACTTACAGAGCTCACTTGAAAAACAGAACTGCTAAATCTCGTATTAGAAACGACGCGCTTGTGGGTCAACGTGGGGTGCTGCTACTTCAATACTTTGTACTTCAACTCGCAGACTTGTGGACTGCAAAATGGAATAAGGAGATGCAGTTTGGTTCAACAGCCGCCATCTACTCTGATCTACTGGCTTCCCACCTTGAGCCACATTTGCTCCTCTGACCAAAGGAGACAGAGAGCCCTAGGAAGAATTCCGGAAGATCACAATTACATCCAAATAGGCTTGCTCAATAGACTGAAATCGTGGAAACCATCCATTCAAACAGCCACATTCTTTAAAAAAGGAATTTTTAATCCCAGCAGAATGGGAGAAATACTGGATTGCTAACACATCTGCTACAATCCATCATGTTCTCAACACAAGCCAAAGGCCTTCGGACTTCAATATGCTTCACAATATATGGAACAAAGAAAACCGCTTATGAACTGGGCATGAAAGATGTGTGGCTTCCTTGTACAAATGGAGCATGGTATCATCACCAGATTGTGAGTATGGTGTCCCCCAGACCGTGCATCACTTAGTGGAGAGTTCAAACTCGCAGCTTATCGTGGGGTTCTGACAGATTTCCTATGTCTGACACTGACAGTGGTGGAATGAATTCTGAAGCTGGATGTGCTCCTCTAGGGACTAACTATTTCATGTACCTCTCTGGAGACTGTTTTTCTGCTGTGGTGTCACATTGTGATGTACTGGACTGCATTTGGTTTCTGTACACTTGCCATAATATAAATAAATAAAACAAACATTTATCTAATTTACTCTAAGAATTGTACACTTCATTTGATAAATAAACGTCATAAGAAGTAACATTTTTTGAAATTTCTCTTTAGTACTCTTGCTCTCCAGATACTCACTCCATGGACAGTAAATGTACATAGCTTCCGAAGAGTATTTACATTACAATTTGCAACATACAGAACAGAAATTCATTCGCTTGAATAAATGTCTTGTAAGAACCATCTCAGGACACTTATCAATCTCTCACACCCCATTAGTCATTTGCGAATAAAGCAACTAACTCATAATATGCTGTGGATTTTTATGGTTCAAAAATCTTTCCTTCACAAGGGAAGTCAACCTGGCTGTCCCATTTGTATGTTTACTGCATGAAAAATATACTCGAGCCTATAAGAAACCTCTAAGCTAAATTCAAATCGCCGGTTTTGTTGCACAAGTAATACCTTTTTCTCCAATAGTTCCTGAAAGGAGTATCGCAAAATTTATATGGTCAGATGGAAGAGCAGGCAATCATGGCCCCAGTCTTGCCACATCAAACAAGCCAAAATATTCCATTCAATTCAATAAATAACTGGAAAGCTTTTGAAAATGAGCAGATCTAGATCACTCATCACACAGGAATTTTACAGTGCTATCCATAAGATACTCTAAATTATTCTACACCAATGTTGAATAAAAATCTTCATTCTTCGCAAATTGGATAATAATACAAATTCATCACTCCAATGACGCCCATTTTATGTGCATGATTATTTTCTTTCCTTCCCCTCCCCCTGCCTGAATTTCCCACACATTCCATATTTAAGTTTTCTGATAACCTTCAACCAAAGAAATTGCTGACATTTACTTGCAATTGGTGGAGAACAATACTTAAATGATGCATATTGAGGTGACAAAAACAACCTATCTAAAACAAAACTGAAAAAATTTTGTTTTCCAAGCATTTTTGCTATTTTTTCAAACATAAAAATACATCCTCCAATATTACCGTCTGTAGAAAATTACAAAAAAAAATTTCAAAATCTTCAAACCACAAAGGAAAAAATTTCATAAAATTCATAACATTATGAATGAAAAAAAAATGACAGTACAGAATTTACATAACTGTCAATTTGGCAAATTTTTCACTACTCAATATCAACAAATAAGAACAATACATCCCATAAAGTCTTTCATCGAATCGTTTCAACTTTATCCTTATGATATTCAGAACTCATTTTTCCCATAATTCAATAAATCTATACCAGTAGTTATAAATTATATCTGAAATAGTATTTGTGACTTGGGAAAATGAACAGAAAAAGCAAACCCTGTGACTTTTCAAAGAGTTGAACAGACAGGGTAGTGCAGATGAAGGCTATTAACTTGATTATAGGATGTGTTCTGAACAGGTAACTTAAAAATGCAGCAAATGTTTATTAAATTCATGTCACTAATCTTGTCATTCTCAGATACTTAAAACATTTTGAAACATTGCACTTCATTCAACTCCTATTTAGAGAAAAAACAAACCATGAATCTCAGTCCAAACAGTTCCTTGAAGCTCTTGCCTTCCAATCAACTCAAGCTTCTATCATTACCTAAAATAGTTCTCGAACTATTCTCTAAATAAAGGCATGAGTAATTTTCAAGAGCAGTAATTCACATTTTGCACTACAATATTAGTATAGCAATACTATACATGCACATCCCTCACATTCGGAAGCTCCTCGTTGTGCCTAGACAAATCTTTACAATAACATTCAGTAACCTCAAAACAATGTATTTCCTCTGATTAAAACATGAACTGTGTATACAGCAACAGATCGCTAAAAAATAATTACTCTGTAACAGACAGACATTTCTAAAAATATAGAAGTTATTATCAAACAGATATTGCACAAGAAAATACTTTGACACATTCCAGCCAATGCCATAGGATTCATACATTCTGACTTTCGTACACAGAACCTCCACCTGAACTGATTAAGACACTACAAATACTTTTTTCTCTATAATACTAGGTGCTGAACAAGAACCTGAAGCAGACACTGACAAAGAGCATTTCAGCTCACCCAACAGGTGCACTCCAATAGGATGATGAGCTCTCAGGGATGATCACATGGTCATCCAGCACACTGCCTTCCCCATGGCCTCAAGTTTCACACACCTGAAGAGAAAATTGCCATTAATACATTATTATTCTATTGATGTATACTTTATTGATGGTAGCAGCATAAATATTGCAGAATTCCATACTAATAAGTGAATTTTAAGGAACTACTAGTTTGAAATGGCAAACACCACATATTAGCCTAAATTAAAAATACCTATAAAACAATTTTGTTTATCGTACTACAGCCCCATTGGGGTCTTGGCTTAACATCTAAACAATTGCAGCTTTTACAGCCTTTTGCACTATACAAATTTCAATGATTAGAAAGATATCAAATTTACCACTCCAATTTACATCATTGCAATTAGTAATAGAGACTATGTTACACAGTAACTAGTAAGACTAAGACACAATAACTAACAGAGTAACACTTTCTTATTTCATGAAAAATAAGTTACGTAAATCATTTCAAGAAACATCGGTCTATCACAGACCTATTGATTTAAGATCTAGTCTATACATTTTGCCCTCTCAAAATACAATATTTAACTTTTATTAAATTGAGATGCAACATTAAATTACACCCTACAATTATTACCACATGTAATGCGTAACTTTCATTCTAATGGAGAAGAAAGAATTGAACAAATATTTACAGACCAGAGACAACAGCAATAATGAAAGAAACTAAAAGCTAAACTAAGAATAATAAGAAGAACAAGAAGGGTTATAGAAAATTCCTGAAATCACTGCAGTCAACACTTCCAGAACAAATTCAAAACGCTTCAGAAAACAGGGCCAAAAATAATAAAGAAGCTGAACATGGAAAAAAGAGAGAACTTAAATTTGTGTGTAATTCCAGAGAAGAAATTAATACATTATAGAAATCTATGGTACAATTAAGAAGAGGAAGATCAACATGGACATATGTAATACTCGCATAGAAAACATAGGTAACAGATCACATTCATATGGAAGAGCTAATAGCAATATTAAAAAAATACAAGAAATGGGATGCCATTACTAGCCTGTACTAGAAAATATAAACAGTGAACTAATAAAATTCAGAAGACAAGCACAAATAGAGAAATTCCTAGAAGCAAAAATGAAATTTGAACAAAGAAAAAAATCCCAACAGAATGGCAAACTGGAACAATAATGAATATCCACAAAAAACTGCAAAAAAAATTAATATGAAAATTACAGAGGGATAACTATGCAAGCAAGCAGCATGCAAGATGTAAGTAAGCATACTAAAAAATAAATTAGTTGAACATCATGAGAGAGAAGCAATGCACATTTAGGAAGAGCAGATGATGCAATATTCACAATTGACCAGACAATTAACAGGAAATAAATGGAACCTGGGAACATTTGTATTGTTCATACATTATTAAAAAGGATGTGAAAGAACAAAAAGAAAGATGCTATGGGACATCCTTATGAAATATACTTGGAAGAACACACAAAAAGAGCAGTTAGAATCCTATATGAGAAATCATATGTAAAAATTCAAGATGCAAAAGCAGGCACGTCTGCAGCATTTCACACAAATGTGAGTCTCAGACTAGATTGCCCTATATCACCAATACTGTTCAATATATAGAGAAAGAAGAGTTGCAAGCAAATGGAGACTATGCTTTATGTAGATTAAGTAATTGTGATGACATCAAAGGATTAACTCCAATTGGCAGCATATGGACTGAACAACATTGTTACGAAATATGGACTGAGAATCTCTCTAATGATTTATATTTATTTTGATTACATTGATTATGTTATCTAAAGAACTGTTTAGGAATCATAGTTATAATGTAGAAAATATAATGTAAATGTTTGTGAAAATTATGCAGTTAGAATACTGTGTTTTTCAGGGAACTCAAGGTAATCAAAGCATAAGTGAGAAAAACACGAATTGATAATGACCTAAATAAAAGACAAGATATTTTTAAATTAGCGTTTACCAATTCTTTAGCCATGGCTACCTTTTTATTGCCACCCTCCATAACAACTTACAAAAAAAATATTTTATCTGATATTGAAAGGAGTTGCCTTTTTTCTACCACTTTCTTTCGTTTAATATCGCAGACGCAAATCCAAATACAAAACTAACTAAATTTCAATTTCAACATAGAACCTCAGAACCACAACTTACAACACTGGTTAGCTTGGAAAAGTGTTGCCGGCTAAATCATCATTAAGAAGTCTCCTTGCTGATGGCCTTGTGCCACACAGAAACCAAGGCCGTGTGCTGTGTGGGCTACAACTGACGGCGGCGACCCGCAGTGGTTGCTTCGGTTTCGAACTTGATGTTCCTCAAGATTCCATGGGTCAAAGTTCGATGATCTATGTGGGCAACAGGAGGCACATGACTGCCACGAGACCTGTAACCATGAATGTAAAAGTGTTAAAAACTTTATAATAAACCTAAAATGCACAGCTGAAATAATTTAGCATGAGAAATATAGTTATATATCCAGACCCAGACAAAAAAATGTATAAACCTGAGAAATGTACAAACGGAATTTCACTGTATTGGTATTTAAATTAGCCACATGCTATTTGTAAACATATAAATAAAACTAAAATAATGAAAACTAAAATAGTGGGATTTAAAGGCATGGACTATATAAGCTCAAAAATAGTACCTGACAACAAAATAATAGAACAAATGTCAACCTTTACTGATATAGGTAACCAAATCTCAATACAGGAAAAGAATTTTAAATCGAAGTTGGCGACAAAATCAATGGCTGTATAAAAAGACACTTCCCACACATGACCAAAGAAACAAAAATTAGTATCTGTAATATTATTGCCAAACAACACTACTTCACGACAGTGGAACATGGGTTACAAAAAACAAATTGCAACAGTCCAAATGACAAATATTGCAAGTGTCATGGAAACACAAAATAAAACAAAGAAATAAGGAAGAATCTAAAACAAAAAATCATCAAAAGATTACTTACTGAAGTATCACAAGAAATGGCAAGATCACGTAAACAGGATGAAACCAACCAGGTGACCAAAGAAGAGGTGGGAAGACCAGAAACACCTTGGCAGTGTCTAGGGGACTACCTAGCCCATTGGCCTATTCCTAAACAGACCATGATGACAACCAATAATTACAACTTCTCATAATAATACAAAACAAGGTATAGAGTAAGGAAACAAAGTTTGATCGACTAACTTTGTGACTCAATACAACCACATTTGTATAATCATTGTCAAATTTATCAGCATATTTACAGTAGAAACACTATGGTAGATTTAAAATTGCTAATATTAGATCTCTTCTTCCCATTACATAAAAATGTGGAGGTACCTTCTAATTTGAATTCTGCAAAAAATAAGTATGAATTCTTGATCCAGCACTATTTAAAGTATTTAAGAATACCTTTGGGATTTTTATTTATTTAATTTACTCATTTATTGTTTTTGTTCATAGAATGTAATTCATATTAGGTAAAGTCTTGTTTTCTCATTAAGAGATTCATTAGGCAGTGTTAGCACATGTGAAAAATATAACACGCTCTCACAAACACTGTTACAAAAATAACCATGCAAGTGTTTCATCAGTATCCAACTGACACTGATGAATTCTAAAAATTGTATTTTGAAATAAATTAAGTACCTCAACATTTTTTACTCTTCTGAAAGTGTAATTAAATAAGGATGTATACTTCAATTTATTTAACTCTGCATTTCAAGTAAATCTGTTGACAGTTTCATTGAATTGGGAGAATGAATATTATCATGACTGCTTGATATTGCTGTGTTGATGTATAAGCTCCAGATTGGATGAAACAGTCAACAGCTAATACCTGCCATATGCATGACTAAATAAATCTTAAATTCATAATTGTCACTAATCAAAGTATAAAAAGAAGTTTCTTAGTGATGGAAATAACTCAAGAAAATCGAAAATTAACTTTACCACTTAACATATTATTAGTGTATAGGTGTACAAGCTATACTCAATATGTAGATTCAAAATGTTAATTCAGAGTTATTGTTAATTATTTAAGAACTTTGTTTCTTTAAATAACTAAATATTTAATATTCTTAATAAATAGTTTATAAATTATCATTTCAAAATCAAAGCAATTACTCAAACCTGTCCCGAGTTTTATTTTTATTTAAAATGAAAAAGTGAATATGAACTATTTTAGTAAATTATTATAATAACAGAAGCCTGCAAGCCTTGGTGCCAGACATATTAGTAGGCATGAAAAAGAAATTAATTGTTAATAGAAATTTAATTTAAATTCAAAAAATATGTTCAAATTATTTGGCTGAAATGTAGTACACGGTACAACCTAAGGAAGTCGTTTAAACCGTCACTTCGCGCCGTTCGGCGTTAACTAGGCAGTTAGAATTCTGGAGGCTTTCTTGAAAAGTGATGTCTTAGCGAGCGAAGAAAACTTGCCTGTGAATGTAAATTGGCGTTACAATGCGCCAGGGACAAAGCATATGAAGGGCGAACCATGAACATCTATTTGTTCTACAAATTTTACTCATTTCTATTAGAGCACGTACCGTTATTAGGGCATAAGCCCTGCCGCCACGCGTCTCTAAGGGTGTACCGTATACTTAACTTTAACCAAATATTTTTTCGAAAAATTATTTATTTCAACTTTCGCAATGCATTTAAAAAATGAACGTTATATAAATTATTCATGAAGTGCAACTGCAGTACTGCGCAATAACATTTCATTATTTCATCGTTAATTTTCGAGAACATTCATGACCAAAAATTCAATAATAAAGAAACACTTTCATAAAAACGTCTAGTTAACTTTACAGTACCTCACATACAGCCAATGCTTCTTCAAACTGTCCTTTTGATCGATGCAATCTAAACTTCCTGACAGCTATTGCCACAAGCTCAGTCTTCTCTGGCTCCCGCTGTCCCCCTCAACATTGGGTTCTGAAACTGTAAATTACCGAATTTCAAAAATACTGTTGTCTTCATAAAGCTCTCTTTTACTAATAGCGACTTCAAAGAACTCACCTTTTCCTCCTTAGTTCACAAAAGATTTTATAATTATACCAGCAGACTTGTGCACTTCGCGTGATAGTTGACCAGGCAGCTACGAACACGAGAACTGGTACTGCCCGGTGTCTGAAGCCGACTGCAGCTAGCGCTCACAAGACGCGCTTTCAGGAAGGCCAAAGAAGTGTGACGTGATTGGACGCCAACCAGCCAATGAGCACTCGCGACCGCGTGCCATCAGAGCCCTAGTGGAGGGGATTGTTAACGGGGAAGGACTGTTCGTAGAGTATTTTTTTAACCAAATAATATCATTGAATTCATGTCAAGCTCTCGTATTATTGATGAGACACACAAGTCTAAGCCACGCGCGAATTCCTACATCCGAAAGATCAGCGTGTTGGCAAAATAATTAGTGTCTCATTCCTTGTTTCATTCTGCCAAGCTCTTTGTGCAAATGACAATCGAGCAATCGAGATTCCGAAGCAGTAGCACACAGCCAAATATGGAAAGAACAGGTATTGAAATAGATAATAATAGAGGCATAGGCAGTGGGAGAGACTTGCCCCAGGCTCCGATCTAATTGGCGTGCGGTGAAATGTTCATATCTGGGTCGTGAACAACGCCACTATAGTGCAACGTACGCTAGGATAGTATAGTGTCGAAACGTTTGTGCTGTCTCGACAATGCACGTAAATAATGACATCAATCCAATAGGAGCTTGAATGTGCTACAGTCAGGAATGTCCCAACTACGTACTCATTACCAAACGCTTCTGAAAAGAAAGGTGAAGTTTTTGCAGCGGTGCTTTCACTAAAATAAAAAAAATCGCCATAATAATAATAATAATAATAATAATAATAATAATAATAATAATAATAATAATAATAATAATAAATATTTTGGTGACATTTACCGTTGAGTTTAGTTCCAAACCATTTGCAAATTCAGAATACGAACTTATATTGACCAGTGGCGTATACTGATTTCATGCCCTGGACTAAAGCTGACATTAGAAATAATCTTGACAATGACTACACATAATCTTCGATTAAATAGTTTCTCTAGTTTGTACTATTTTTATTATACAATATTATATTCTAATATTGTATAATATTCTCTAATAAACGCTAAATATTCAGTTAATATTCAGTGTTTATTATAGAAGCCTTTATTTCGTCGTTCGAATTACGAGAAATGACAATCATTTTTACAATTTCTCGTTATATGAACAATTAAAAGATTTCTCCAATAAACGCTGTACAGTACACTCATTGTGAACAGATAAACTTTCCTTAGATTGCAATGAATTGTTTTCAAAATACCTTACCAATTTAACAATAGTTAACTTTGACACTATTACACACTTAATATCTAGCAATTGTAACACTTCAAAGACGCTTAATATAACCCTTTTGGGTCATCCCACGGAGAACAAGGGGTCGTCAAAACTCGACCTCCCAAAATTATCTATTTTTTATATTCACTTCTCCTTAGAGTAAATATGCTTCCTCTGCAATATTAATGAATTATCACTCATTGTTGCATCACAACGAATGGTTAAAGTCTACGCATTTGCATTACACGTCCGCATTATTTATTTTTTCTGATTACGATAAAAGACAGAATTGATTTTCAAAACACCATTTGTTAAAGAATAGATAGACCTATGTTTATACTTCATATCGATACTTCGCATACATTTGTTGTTAATAATCAAGCTCAAAACATTATTAATGTATTAATAAATCAAAATGCAATGTTTTAATTCAAAGGAAAAAAAAACAGTGAGCAACGATGAATATTTGTAGGCAATCCTGAAAATGTCAAGACGGGGCCATGAAAAGAAAGACCGTTAAAAAATTAAAACTCCCCGCGGCATTAGCCCGCCGCATCAAGGTTGCACGCTCCTTGACATTTGCGTCGAATCACAACTTGACTGGGAAATTCAAACAAACACGAAAAATGTCTCAGAGAAATCAATTCCATTATCTGGGATAACACAAAGAAAACCTCGTGTTCCAGGAATAGTCTTCAGTCACGCAAACCTCTCCGTAACATTTGACCTTCCTCATCGTGTGCAACTTTCGTTGTGAAACGAAACAACTCCTTGAATATCGCATTTTGCCTATTCATATAGTTCTTTTGGAGTGGAGATGTGAGTGCCTTGGAGACTAGCGTACGCAACAGATCTCTTCACTGTACCTCCTACGCCGTCACAAGAACACTTGCCATGGCTTGTAGCGAACAAAATGCTATTCTGCCAAGATGCAGAATTCTTTTTTTTGATTCGCAATATTTGAGAAATTTGGTTTGTTTTGTATTGCCCTGCGAATCCATCGCTTAAATACTACTTTTTCTCAATTTTAGAGAAATGTTCTTGCAAATATTGAGAGAGTTTCTTCTGAAATAAGTGTACTCTTAGTCCGCCACGAGCTGCTGTTATTGATTAACTAAGGTTCGATAAATATTCATCAAGCAAATCAGTTGTAGATTTGCTCACCTCGGTTTCTTCTACATTTTCAAAATCAGGAATTTTTATATTCATTTACGATATTTTATGACGACAGCCATTACAAATTGAATCACCAACCACTAAGTGCGAAATCATTTTACGCACTTCATCTGCTACCCATTTGTTTCCCGATTTTATTGGAATGCTTTTGAAGTTCAAAACAGTGGCTGCACCCCAAAAGTATACCACTTTTTTTATTTCAGCTTTTAAATAAAGCTTTTAACGTGCAATGTTTTTACTATTGAATATAAAGTTGGACCAAATCGAATATAACTTACTTGCCTCAAAGGTCAGCATTTCACTCAAGCAAGCTCCCTAACGCAACGAAATTCGCACAACATTCAGCCAGTGCGAAAAGTAGCATAAACAAAGACTTTTATTGCTCCACGCCCCATCAGCATGTCCCTAAAGTTAGCATACCCACTTCTCACAAAATTGAAAAACTGTGTCCCAGAATTTTGTTCTAATTAAGGACTAGTTTATAACCAAATTTAAAAATTTTCTACTAATGCACAACATCAAAATATTCAACACTAAATGTGTATACGCTAACTTAACGTTAAGATAGCATACCCACACAAGAAAAATGCATGAAAACCAAATGAACCAGAAGTTTGTTATAATTAAGAACTAATTTATACCCAAATTCGAAAATTTCTAGCAATTTTTTTAAATGTATTCAATTCATTATTCCGTAACATAGCTGCAAGTTGTAATCGGTTATTTTGAAAACCCCGTAAGTCACTCTCTTTTAAAGTTTTGCCTTGGTGAGAAAATACAAGCTGCAAGATATGTGCATCATTCGATGCGTAAATCCTGTTCATCAGATGAATAGAATATCCGTCAGAACGTTGCAAAGTTTTGATTTGGTTTTGAAACTTAAAGTCATTGACTTGCAGCGTATGTATGTCTCTATGCATGTACTGTGTGTATGACTGAACTATCTGAAAGATTGGTTAAAAGGGATATTCATTGCGGAAATAATCCTATACACTATCATAGAAACACATATTTCAAGCAATTGTTTCTAGTATATGAAGCATGCTTGATGTATATGCAAATTGTCATTTCACATAATAGTGTAATAAATGTGTCAAATTACAAACTCAACCTGCGATGTGTATTTATTTACAAGTTTAAGTAAAAAAAGTCCTGATTAGTTTTTGAAGTCCCATATGTCAAACTCCAACGAGTATTGTACTTTTGATACAAGTAAATTACATCTTTCCCTGGAATCTTAATCACTTTTTATGCATCATAAATTAAAGAAACAATAGAAAAGTTCTCTGTATTCTTAATTCGTTTAATCATTTTTCTTATTTTCTCACAACTTTACAAATCCTGATTGCCAGGGATTTAAAAATAACCGATTCAGTTTTGAAGAAGTACGCCCAACATTCCCAAACGGAGGTATTGAAGTTACTAAACGTAACAGCAGATTCTGCTGCCGACATCGCTCCATTCACAAAGCGTTAGTGAAACCTGTTGTAGACAAAAATGCACAGGACCCTCCAGACGATTAGCTCGCAGGCGCAAGGGAGGCTTCGGAAAACCCCACCAGGAGAAAGCTTCAGCATTAAAGAATCTCCAGGGAAAGGGCGGGCTCGCCGATCTGACGTTTTGGAATTTCCTGGGAGCATGTTTAAAGACAAAAAATGATAATTTTATGATACTATTGAGCAACAAGAAATCGATAAAACCCCATGTAATTATTTTTTATGAATCTCTATAATTTTTTGTTTTCTTATTATTGCGGAACTAACTTGATATCAAGTTAGTCGAATGTTTAACAACAGGATCAAATGAAGAGCGACATATTTTGCCTAACACGTTAGCAATAAAAACAGCGACATATTTGAGTTAAATGTAAATATTTTTTTAAACTTCGCTGTTGTAACTTGACTGAGTTCCTGACGAGTCCTTTATTATCATGAGAGATACCTACGCCGCTCCTCTTCGACTTTTGCGGCAAAGAAAGAGGCAGCGTTTAATAACTAATTTATTAACTAACTAAACGTATGGAACAGATAAGCCGGCCGCTTTAGTTCGGCAACCTAAGATTATATGTAAAACTTTATTGTATTTTCTGTTAAATTTTTCTGTCTATAGGTCTTCTTGATTTGTCTGTGTTTTTTGGGTTATGAATGATGTGTGAATGTAGAAAAAAAAAAAAAAAAAAAAGTTACCAAACAAATAAAAACAATTTTACGGTAGAATATATATTAATAGTATTACAAAAATGATTTTAGTGGTAAGTTAGTAATGCCAAAGTGCAATTAAGATAAACGTTAGGTCTAGATTGTAAGTTAGTTGTAAGTAAAAGCCCCGCCTGTAGCTGCTTAAGCCGCAAGGCAGCAGCGTATGAGAAAAATTCATTGAAAATAAATTCCCCTTCTCCACAGGTATACTGTGGAGGGGACCAAAGGGAAAAAAAAAAAAAAAAAAGGTTGTGTTTCTGAGGAGCGTGAGCGGGAGCGTCTGTCGATTTTGAGTTTCGTGGTGGGCGGCGGTGGTTGACAGGGGCGGTTTGCCAGCTTCTGTGATCTCGCCGCCTTTGTTACGAAGGATGCGGTCTGGGCCCGCGTTGGCTGCCGGGTCTCCCGGGCACGGCTCTCCGCCACGTGCGGAGGTGCGGTCAGCGACCTGGAGATGGGAGATTTCACCACCCTGGCCGTTGGGAGCAGAGAGTATATTTGGTTGGGAGCCCGGGCTCCTTCTGGGGTGAAGGGGGGGGGCGGCGGCGGCGGCGGCGGCGGCGGGGACAAGGGAATGGCAAGGGGCGCGTCTGGGTTATACAACACAACGCCCCCAAGTCTTTCTGCGAACTGCATGGGTGGCATTTGGCGCGCAGGCGGCCTTCGCATCGGAAAATTGTTCTACGCAAAATGTCAGGAGCGAGAAATTGTAAGAAAATTTGATTGAGCCATTTTTTGGAAAATTTTGAAAATGTCCCTGGGCTTGATGTAAATTACTTCCCGAAATCAAAATACCGGTTTCAAATTCAAGAGGCCGAGACATAAGCTAGACGGATTGGGAAATATGAATTTTGGAATAAATCGGCTGAAGGGTTTAGCCACTAGCGTTGTTCACAGAAGGACAGTCATACGATTTGCGGTCAATCGATTTTTCGCTATCGAAGGCCCACGAAACATGCATTCTGGCTACATTACGTATTAAAAGGATCCCCCCAGGATTTAGCAACTTTTTGCATACTAGGAACCTGTAATAAGAGACTCCTGCCGAAAATTCGACGTTTTTTGGCATAGCATAACATACTCTTTACTGCATACATCGTGATGAGAAATAACCAAGTGTTGCCACTGAATAGCACCGACTTTCCCATATTTGTTTTATATTTCCTTTATGAAAGACCTACTCTAGAAACACCGACGTGTTCGGAGTTCTGGGTGTAAAAAACCAATTCTTGCCGGAGCCTCAAAGGCGTCAGTGACCGGCGCTCAAAAGGGGCTCTTGGGGTCCGAAGCGCCGCGCAGTTACCGGCCCGCGACCACCGGCCTTGAGGCGAACAGTCTGCGCGCATCGGGTTCCCACCCTTTTTGCGGTCCGGAAGGTCCGGAAGCCGGCGTTCGCCTTCTCCTTCCGCGCGCTGCCTCCCGCACTTCGCTTGCCTGCCTTGTGCGAAGCGAGCGGAGGTAGCTGAGCGGCGAGGGGAAGATTCCGCCAAGTTCGGCCGAGGGACGGGCGCGGAGGAACCCGCGAAGCCCCGCCCCGACCTGCACGCCTCCCCAATTTGGGCCCCGAGCGCCACGGACACTTTGAGTCCCAGTCAGTGCCTTGGTTGGCGAACAGTGTAGGAAGAGTGACAGCTGCGAATGAATGGGAAGAATGAATGGTTATGTATATAGAACGAAGCTAGTATGAATGATGTGAGAAATGTTAGAAAAAAAAACATTTTACCAACTATTATATAAAATAATAATTACGCTAGATATATAAAATAGAACTAGAAAAATGATTTAGTGGTAAGTTTAGTAATGCCAAGAGTGCAACTTAAGAATAACTTTAGGTCTAGATTGTAAAGTTAGTGTTTAGAAAAAGCCCCGCCTGTGTGCTGGCTTACCCGCAGGCAGCAGCCTATTATAAAAAATAATTCATAGAAAATAAATTCCCCTTCTTTCACAGGGATAGCCTGTTGGCGGGGGGACAAACAAGAAAAAAATATGAAAAGACCTTAATGAAAGAACTTCAACTATGGAGAAACATATTTTATTTGAAGGACAAATATTTCATTTCCGTAATTTGTAGATTTGGGAAGACACCGAAAAACTTTTTGAAACTTTTGAAAACTTAAGAGTATCAATTTTTGGGAAAATCGGATCTATGCCACGATTAATTAATGGGGTACTGTTAAATAATTTTTTTAATGTAGCGCCGGGTTTTAGAAAAATTTTGAAAATGGCCGGAGGTTTCATGTAAAGTACACATCAAAATTTTGAAGAATGATTTTTCAAAAATCACAAAGTTTCCGGACTCCAGTCAGATCGACACGGTAAAGTTGATCGTTTTTCAATTATCGAACAATTCTTCGAATGGTTAAGGCGCTAAGCAGTGTTCACCAAGACACACGACGGCACGGGCTGCACAAAAGGACGTTTAGAAAAAACCCTTTTTCGATATCTGGGGATCCAAAATGTGTAATCGAAACACCATTTCCCACAGCATTACATAGCTTTCCCTATACTACGAATATTGACTCTTATATGCATACGTATTCGGGAAAGTAAAAGATTTTGCGACAGTGGTACGCCTTGGTTTTAACTCCATAAGAATTCTTTTTCTTTCTTTCTAGATCAGGCTCATTTTTGGCATTATTACTACCATTTCCAATAATACTATTTGTTTTCCACATAGAATGCTCTAGAGAGCTCTTATTAAATGCAGTTAAAGCCATTTCATTAACTAATCCTTATTTAGTTTTTGTTACCTTTACCAAAAGCGCTTCTGTAACTCTATAAGAAACCCTATGTACGTATGTTGCATTAGCTCCTTCCTTTTTGAAATGCTGGGGGTTA